AATGAGAAAAAATGAAACCAATAACGACATAATCATCCAAATCAGTTATCCCCTTGATTTGACCAGGTTGATATCGGTTCACTTTCTAACTGGTTCAATGCTTAAACCAAACCAAATCACTGGCCAGATTTTCCAGTTGAACCGGATGCTCCAGTCTGTTTGTTTTCTTAACAGTACATGTTTATCCTTGTGTGTGTGTTGGAATATTTATACAATTTAGATCGTACCCATATACTTTAATATGGTTGCAAAGTTAATAATCACTAAATTGATGAATATGGGGTAATGGTGTTGATAAGGCTATAATATGACCAGTTATTAATTAAATGCTGATATTTGAGGCCTAGTCAACAAAGTGGGATTACTTTATATGTGTGTGTATCCATTTCTTTATTTTATTCTAAACCACCTCAGAATTGAGAAAACAATGAAAAATGTTTCTAGCTAAGGTTGCAACTGAAGCTCCAACTCGCTCCCTTTTAGAATTTACAATTCAATCATTGATGTTTTACAGCTCATCTTCCAAAATTTTTACTAATTAGCTTATGTTGCCTACCTAGTAAAGCCACTTTTGTGTATCAAATTGCATTTCCAACTAATTTTTATATTTAGGATAAATAGTAGTATTTCTTTTTCTAATCAAAGGGCTTTTATGTGGCTCCACAAATATCTTCTTCCAAGACTCATTAGCCACGCATTTGTCATCCTTCAATTTGGTAGTCTCTGTTCTCAACTTAGCAATAATATTACCTCTGATTTTAATATAAGATATAATTAACTAATTTGGAGAGATTAATAAAGTTATTAAACTGCATAATTACAGTACTGTTACATGATTTTTAAAAAAATTATATATCAATTTATAAATGAGTCGAATTAATTTAAAGAAAAATAATAAATATAAATACTTTAAAGTAATTTATTAACTTTATTAATCTTCCTAGCTAAGTTAACTTGGTCTTATACTAAGGACAGGAGATGGTATCCTATAGTACCTTAGGGCTTGTTTGGCTCTGCTATTTGTTTTTTGTTTTCAAAATAATTTTATAAAATTGTTTTTTAGAACAAGTTTTAAAAACAAAAAAAATTTTGTTACACACTTAGACGCTTTTTATTTTAAACTAATTTTAATTATTTTTTTATTTATATAATTTAATTATTTATAACCTATAAAAAAGAAGGATTCGGAGTAAGAAACTTGGGACCATTGAGTGTCCCACTTGTATCTGGATGTTGGCACTGGTGAAGTTTTCTGGAGTGCTCCAATTTCTTCCACATTCAAAGTTGGCTGATATTGATCTCTGATGGTTCGCATATATCTGTGTGTGTGTTGGATAACATATGGTCGTATTGGAGGCCCAACAAACTGTGTTTGTGGCGTCCAAAATGTCAAGTCGTCCATCCAAATCAATTCATGAATCCCACTCAGAGCAATGGACTTAAAGCAAGAGTTTGATAGATTGGCATTAACAAATACAAAATTAATAAATGTAGGATCAAGTAGAGAGAAATAAGGAAGAAAAATAAATAAATAAAAAGAAAAGACTGTGAAGTGCATAAATTATTTGCAACACTGGTTAGGTTAGAGGGGTTGTGATGTTAGTCATTCCCTCTCAATCTTTAGTTTAATTCCAAAAAAACAACGATACAGATAGTGGAGTATTTGTTGAAGAAATTTCTTCATGTTACTATTTGCATTACACAAAAATCTGTCCCTTCAAAGCCGTGAAATTTGATCAATGTTACCTAAATGATGCCAGTGATGCTTGTGGGAAAAATGCAGGTAGTCTCAGTTTCTTGTACCAGAACCTTTTTCTTGTAAAGAACCATGGACCTTCCTCTAGTAATATATTGCCACAATTCAATGGATGAAACCGTGTACATAAATCAGAGTCGCATTATCCTGTGCTTCTCAATGGTTCGTCATCCAACATTTGCAAACATTCTTCTGGATTGGCATAAAAATAGTCCTCTTCTTCTTTGGGTTTTTCCGGTATGACCACTCTTGTTTTGGGACTTCCCATTTGAGAGGCATGAAATTCCTTTACAATAGCAGAGAACTCATCCCACCTTAATAAGCCTGTGGTGTACTGATCTATTAAGTTCACTAGCAGCTTCCTTTTCAGTAGTATTGTCTTCTTGAATCCCAGGAATCTGTGGATTATTAAGAAAAGCAAAATGAAATAAGTAGCGTTTGAATTTCAGAATACACAATTGAGGTTAAAAAAATGACGGTTTAGGTATCAACTATGATCAAAGTTTGTAGTGTCAAGGAGTCATGAATGCTGTAAATGCTATTAGTGATGATTTTCATTCACCATCTAATTAGGATTTGCCAAAGTGAAAATAACATTTCAAACAGACTCAAATATCTTTTGTGGACCAAGCATAAAGGCACAAGTGGCAGCATAACAGCACCTGCGGTGGCCTTCCACGACTTTAGCCATGTTCCCATCATAAGTTGGAATAAACATGTCACTCTCAAGAGAGACTAGATAATCCAGAGCAGCCATTTGGGAGGTATGATTTTGCAAGTACTGCAAACCTGAAGGCTCCAGTAGAGTTTCCTTCTTCACCTGTTGCAATTAGAGAGAGTTTTAGTGACAAAGATACGCTTGTGATATGATTCTACTTCTTTCAACTTACCAGATTAGGAAATGCTGCTCGTAAATTCGCCATCCTTCTCTCTCCACCATATATATCACCAGCAGCAATATAAATTTGGGCATTGCGATCTATGCCTACTGCTGTCAATGTCAGAGCAGTTTCCTCAGGTGTCAAAGGGCAAAAACCTTCTTTCCTCTTCACTTCAGAAATTGATTACTTTCTCCTTCCACAAGTCTTCAGAATATCTATGACCACAAGCTTATATTATTACATCAGATGGATATCAAAGAAACAAGATAGATAGCATATCGTGTTAATAAATCTTTGACTCATGGGTAGTTAAGTTATTTGTAGGGTCAAAAGATCAGAGCTGAATCCCAAAAGAAAGTGCAGATCACCTCATTTCTGTGAGTACCTTCACCTCCCTGCTGTCACAGCCCTGAGTACAGCCCGAAAAAGCCAACATGTCCGTCTCATATCTAAGATGAAGTACAATGAAAGGTCCCTTTTCCCTCAAAATTCTGACAATCCTTCTACCAAGTAGCTCTATCTGAGGGGTAAAGCTCAGAGCATTAAAATTTACTCGGCACCGCAGCTTTTGAATCTCCAAAGGTAGTCCATTATTCGCTAGTCGAGTGTCAGTTCTGTTTAAATGCACAACCTTGTGTTTCAGCAATAGAGTAAGGATCAGTAGCAAACATTCAGAAGGATTAGAGAACTTGATGCAAACCCAATTGAGCTATGAATCTGATAAAACCCCGTATCCATAGGAAGCCCAAAAACAAAAACTACCTGATGTCCATAGTATGATATCTTAGACCAGCTAACAGGCGACAATGACTAGTGTTGCTTTGCATCAACTCTTTTCTTGAGCCTAGGTGGTAGTTTCTTTAATATCCGAACCTCATCTCTTAAAGATGTAATGAAATGATCTACATCAAATATGTCTTCAAAGTCACTGCAAAATAATGGAACATACACGCGGTCATTCCAAACAAGAAATCAGGATAACCCTAGCCATAGCAAGCAATTAAGGGCAAACCTCGGATCAGCCCAGAATGAGGTTCTATCAAGTTCTGGAACTATGAGAGTTGCATTCAAGTATCTAGCAATGGTGACCATGTCACATAGCTGCAGAAGAAGAACAAAGATTAAAATCATAGTTCTTAAATAAATGAATCAGACTAGAGCTAAAAACACATGGATATAGGTAGATGATCACACTAAAAGGAAAGTAAGTTCAGCACTCACTGCTGCTCGCATTTGGTTGAGTCCTCCATTGCAAGAAACTATAAGATAGCCATTGTTCTTGTATATCCCTGATAACAAGAATAAATAACTTAGTACAACGTTCATCAAAATATAAAAAGCATAACCGAAAAGAAAGCGAAGCTCTGGTTTCCCACGGGAGGGAAGAGGTACTGTGCAATCTTCAATAAGAAAGAAATGAAGGACGAATTGGTCATCATGCACAACAGAACAACTTCGGATCCTCAAGTACAAAATTGTATCAGGAAAGAAGACGGGCGTGCAAGATGCTATAAGGAAACCCCATTTCATGAGAAAAAATGCTAGAAGGGTAACGAGGCCGCTGCAGAAACTACCACCAAATCAGAAGAGGGTTAACTTTATTATTAAGAAGGGATAGTCGGTTCGATTCCTTTGGAAGAACTCTAGTATCAAAATCCTAGATTCACTAACACAAAACAGAAAGTATATCCTGAAAAATAAAAATCATCTGGGAAGGGAATGGGGAGGGAAAAGATGCAACCGGCAACAGATCAAAACACGCGTTTCTTCCACAGTTGGCAAAGTTCATTGCTAATTAATAGCTTGAAGATGAACACGAATCAGCCCCAGAACTTACTTTTGGGTGGAAGCACAAGCTTGGCTGAAACGAGAGACTTCTCTTTTTGGATCCTTACACTTACAGTTGGCAGGACAAGCTTATCTGAAATGACTTGTTATTTCTGTCATCCATCAGTCTGCCGTACCCACCCTTTTTTTTTTTTTTTTTTTAAAGCCTGGGGTAAATCTACTTCCTGTATGCATATTTTAGTGAGCTCAGGGATGATAAAGTGTTCATTGTTATAATTTATTTTGGCTGGGTGCTGATGAATATTAACACAATAAACAGTTGTTGTAAATCTTACTTGTTGGAACTCTTCAAATTTTGTATCAGAGAAATCATTGTGGACCAACAGATAATGTCACATCTCAGGCTATACAAAATGGTTCTGGCCATGAGAACAATGACATTGTCTCTCCATCACTGCCGTTAAATGCACAGAATACAATTGAATCTGACTTGTCACCAACAGTAATTCATAAGGCCGGGTCCCCCTGGTTTAGCTTCTGATGCGATTCCCCTGGGCATGCAAATGCGGCTGGACATGTTTGATCCGGCTGTGAGCAGTGGCATTCCAACCCAACATTTACATGAAGCAGTTTCTAACACTGAGAACACACCTTCCTCTACTCAGCCTCACGTGTGTATTGGTGAACCAAAGGAGGGTGCATATGATTTTGGAAATAATACATTGAAGGATCAAGGCGAGCTGACATTTGAAAGTGAATCGGTTAGCATCTCAAGAGCCTATTCTCAGGGGTGAGTTTATCGTGAGTTTACGTTAGTTCTTCTTCATTAGGTTCCCAGGAATTATTGTTAAATTAAAACTGACATGACCAGTGAATGGCTGTAACTGTTCTAGAAGCTGGCATTGGGTGTGCATATTTAGCTTATTCACTAGTAACAGAATTCCCCAATGCCCATTCAACATTTTATAAAAGAATGTGTGCCATTTTTGGGTATAAACAATAATTGCACACAAAGTTCCACTCGTTATCTGCAAACTAATGGCCTCACTGCCTGAGACATAGAATTTGAACCTTTGTCTGAAATGTCAAATTGAAAAATGTAGACTGACTGATAATGAGTTTTAACTATGGTGCGATAACTTGGTTTTTTGAGATACATTTACAATCTCTTTCTGCGTGTAATATTCTAAAACCTTGCTTTTTGTTATTCAAACCTCTAGGCACAGAAGTTAAGGTTGAGGCCAAGTGGATTGGCAGGATGCATGCATTGATGATTGTACAGATTACATTCTAGGAATGTGGCCTAGTTGAATCATTAAGGATTTGGTGCTGATTACAATGACATAGGTTCCATTAGGCTTCTTTTTGCTGCTGACTAAAATAATTGGTATGCTGGTTACTCTTGCAAAGGTTCTTTTTGGCACATTAAAGGGTTACTTTGAGTGTCTAATGAAACCAAATTTCACTATGTCATTATTGAGTGGGGTTTTTGTGCTCAACAGAATATTGGATAATTTCATGCAAGCATTGCGGTTTTCAGGTGTGGATTTATCCGAGGCCAACGTTGCAGTACAAATTGATGTAGGGAGACGATCAATTGCCTCCACGTCTAGCACAAAGGTTTGTCAAAACTTACGGTTCGGAATGTTTGAGAATTTCCTGTCACATCATTACTACACCTGCACCTATGGTATTTAATTCGTAGCTGCCACCTTGGATAATATATGAAAAAGAACAGAAAGATGGAAAAGCTTCCAATATCCTTGGTTTTGGCCAATGGATCATGTCAACCCATTGTGTTTTGATTGTTATCAGTCGGAATAATGCTGACCTCGTGCTGTTTGATAATTTTTACCTTTTAAATTCATCTTGACAGTGGCCAATGTTGTTTGTTCAGGATCATGGGAGCCAATTTGTGAACACCCAATCAATGCCATGCTCAGCAGTCGACTACTACAGTGAGGATTCTGAACAAGCTCTTAAGAGGCTCAGAACAGAAGAGAGTTAGCTTTCTTGTCCTTTTTCTTATTTTTTCCTGTTTCTGCAGGCAATGAAAAGCAGGGTTGGGTGAGTGGTTCATTTTTTGGCATGCGAGATAGATCCGGATAAAATGTGCACTTCATTTTCTGGTTTGGAAACATCGTCCTTCTGGAATAAAATGATAAGTTCAGCTCCTATTTTTCCTTTCCATGGCAAAATGTCTGTTTTATATTTGTGCTAAATAATCCATCCATTGCAGCGGATGTTCCTATGCTATTTTGCATTTTATGTGTGCCAACTTCCTACAGTTTCCAGACACGGGCTGACTTTTCGAGATCATCCTTTAGGTGTGCCCCAAGAAATGATGGTGGGACCTCTTTTTAATATAAGAGTTATTTTAATTTTAATTTGATTTTAAATATAAAATTTCAATTCAATTTGTCTTTATTATTTATTCATTTTTTTCTTAAGTAATTTTATTGTAATTACAAATATTAAAGAGTTATTATTAATTTATAATTCAAACGTACAAGATTAGTAAGAACATTTTAGAAAAAATATTTATTTACTACAAATAACTAAGTTAATTTTTTAAATTTTTATAAATTAGTCAGCTAAGTTTTATATTAAGAATTAAACGCAGTATATTAATTGAATCCATTCATGTAACTCTGATGGTTATCATAAGTTTGAACTATATTAAAATTTGTAAGCCGCTTCAATCTAATGACATTATATCTTGAAATTGAAAATAACTAAATTGACTAAGTTATTTTAATTATAACTATTTATGTGACTATGTGAATTTACTACTAGGTTCTTTTTAATTAAAATGTAATTTTTGAATGATAAAGCAATTCTGAGAATCAGTGTCATGAGTGGGTCCAATAGTGATATGGAACAAGATGACCATTCACAGACTGACAGAAAATGAGCTCCCGTTTTTTAACACTAAAGTGAGATAATTAATTTAAAAAAAATAAAAAAATTAGTTAAATTAGTTAATTATATATATTGGAGTTGCCCCTTAATAGAAATTATTTAACATGTTTAATTCCTACAAAGATTATTTGAGAAGAAGTGAATAAATGTCAGAAACAAAATGAATAGGAATTTTATATTAAAGATTAAGTTGAATTTTTAACTAATTATTGAACTTATATGAAGAACCGGAGGTAGGACTTGGCCTTTGAAGAAATGTAAATAAGCTAGCAAATGAGTTATTCTATTCGGCCTTGGCCGAAAGGTATTTGTTCTTTTTTCCCTTTTTCTTTTTTCTAAACAAAATAGATTGCACCAAAAGTAAACTAGAATATAAATATATCGTGAGCTATATTATTCAAAAGTTATTACTAACATTTCTAGACTCCATATTACTCATCTAGTTTTATTTATTGGGCATTTTCAGTATGTGTCACATATAAAAAAATTTAAATTGCATTAATTTTTTCTTAAATATAACAACTTTTCATTTTACCCCTGTTTAATAAATACATCTTTTTAAAGAAATAACTATCTAAACTATAATAAGTAAAAGACAAACTAATATACCTATGTTAAAAATTACATGAGTGACTTGTAAATATGATCAAAAAGAGACGTCTCTCTACCTCACAAACAGAACCAGTATATATAAACATGTTTAGTCATGCCTTGCTAAACATAAAAAGTGTAGTATTTAGCTATGTAGCAAGCCAGTCTTAAGATGTCCTCTTGTCCAACATGTATATAGCTGCTTTGACATATGTTGGATTGAATAAGAAGTTAACATTAAATGATGCAAGATTAAGTTATCAAATTATTCCATCGTCTGATCCATTGTTAACAAATTTCCGTATATTTAGAAATGTCAGTTAAAAGTAATTCATGTTTGTTAATTTTTAAATTATCCTCAATAAAATTCATTAATTAAATGAGATTGTTTAGTTAATTAATGAGAGAATATCAAATCAAAGGATATTTAGGAAAAAAAATTAAAAATTCTTATAATAAAAAGTAGAGGGAGTAATTACTAAAATTAGCACTACAAACACATGTCATGATCCACTTACATCTTGGATGATGACATTGCAAATATATATTTTATGCTTAGATTTTAGATGACACCCACACATGTTCATATTGGAGTTTTGACATAATATAATTAATGTGGTCCAAAACTTGTTTTGTCAACAAAAAAGATCAGTTCAACAAACCCACTTAACCAACGAGGAAGATATTAGACGGGATGAAAGGAAAAAATTTACTTTTTTTAAAAAGATTTTTCTCTCCTAATATTCATCCCCCCCAATTTTCCCTCTCCAAATATAAGGTTAGAGAGATTTGCATTGATAAATAGGTTAAGATACAAATTTATCTTGTAAGTTTAAAATCGTAGCAAGATTGTCATTTGCTATTAAAAACACTAACCACAATTTATAGTCTAATTTTTTAGTATTAGGAGGCAATCTTGCTATGATTTTAAATTTTTCAAAGAAAATTTACATTCAAAAAAACTTTCAGGTGTCTAGTATTTTTGAATGAAAACTTTCAGGAGAAATTTCCATTTTAACCTTTAAGAAATTGTAAGGCATGAGAGAAATATGGTGATTTATTGTATAGGGCGCCAGGAAGAAGAAAATAACAGATAGTTCTCTTGAATCTGTAAAATGACGCATATTCTACGGTTGCTAACTATTATAAAAGAGAAAATTATGAATAGGTCCCAATTAAGAGAGTTTTTCATAAGTCTTGCAAAATTTGTGAAATTAAAATACTGACTTGGTTATAATTAATTTTTCCTATAAATGGATAAGAAGAACTCAGTCTTAAACGGCATTGACAAGTCACCAGTGACGGCCGTTAAGTGGTCAACCCTGGTGTTGATTGGCAAAATTTTTAAAAAGATTCACAAGTCAAATATTAAAGATTTACAAGTTAAAATTTCATAGATTTACAAATCAACCTCTTACAATATTAATATTTTAATATTTACATTCGAAGATTTACAAATAAATCTTTATGATTTAAAATTCAAACTTCTTAATTTATGCGTAAACTTTTTTAAAAAAAAAAATTGAATTTTAACATTTAACTCATTCTTAGCTTTGCAAGTCAACCTCATGGACTTAGTAATGAATTTACGAAATGTTTGCGTTAATTACCTTGGTATATCCATGAAATGTCATATATGATGATGGTTGTCAACAGAGCATATGCAACCCACTTAAGGGGATATTTGGATGGAAATCAAATCATGGTTTCAAAAGTGTCTTTACAATTTACGAAATAAATATATGAAAGAATTTGCCTTGTTTTGCAGAAAAGTGATTTTCAAAAGTGATTTTGAGAGTTTGCAAACACCCCCTAAGTGCTAATCCACAATTATTCAAACAAATAACACTAGGAGTTTGTGGTACCTCCTACTTTGTGCTTATTTTCGCAGCCAAAGTGTTTTCTCACCTTTTCAAATTATCAAACTCTCTCTCTCTCTCTCTATATATATATTTGTATATATAATCTTCTGCGTAATTTTTTTCTCTGTATGTGTTGAAGATTGAATCCTTTATTTACAATGTAAGTTACTTGCAGAGTAATTGATACTTATTTGCCAATTTTACTTTGTGATTCATGCTTTTGTATTTTTTCTGTTTTCTTCTTCCTTCAAACCTTATTTAATATGAACAAAGTTGAAAAATATTCTCAATTTAAGATAACTTTAACGAGTTAATAACTATCATTTCTTAATTTCAGTAAATTAGTTAGAAGTAACTTAAATTATGAATCGTAAAAAAGTGCAAGTTATAGCAAGTGCTGTAAATTAGGACAATAGACACAGTAGAAATCCTCTTATAATATAATACTTGACATATGGTGCGAATTAATGATTGTGCGCTTTGGATATTGAGATAGGGTCATATTGGAGCCTCCAACGAATTGAATGTATGAACGTGTGGCTTCCAAACTTGCATCAGTCACCAAAATCAATTCAACAATCCCACTTAAAGCACCGAACGAGGAACATAGTTAAAGAGAGTCATTAATGATAAAGCTTATTAGTAAATTATAAGTAATAAGAGGGTGAAAAACAGGGACGAAGCACCGAAGTGCATTGATGCACCCTAGTATTCTAATATATTTTGGCATTTCTTAGTGTATTTTTGAATTAAGAAATGTTATGACTTAATTGGCCATCAAAGTTTTTCGCATCTTGTACCATTAGGATAGTCTTTAAATTCATTTCTTCATGTTTCCTTTTTTTTTTTTTGGTTTTTTGGGGGGAGCAAAGAGAAGCTTAAAATATTTTAATTAACTCGGTTAGTGGCATAAAAACTCCATTATAAGTAGAAGGTCTGGATCCTCTCAGAATCCTTCTTTTCTTCTTTTCTTCTCAGAATCTAATCTCCACCTTTGGATAAATAATGAATGGTTCAAATTTCATGCTTTATAAAACTCATTGTAACATTGCATAAAGGAGAAAGAAGGTGGACATCTGCTTTTTAAAATATTAAATTTGAACCATCTATTACTTGATCTAGCAGTGGATACGAGATTTAGGGAAGAAAAGAGAAGAAGGATTCTAAGAGGATCCAGGATCCAGATTCATAAGTAGAAGGTTATTGATTTGATCCTGTTTTCTCATGTAGTTATTATTGTATATTCTCCATATACATCTCTCACAGGTAACAATTATATAATAATAATTAATGGTTCCATCTTATTTTCTCAGCATCGATCTCTCTCTCTCTCTATATATAAAGACAAGATCAGTGCAGAAAACAAAGGAAGCAGAACAGAAGAAAATGAGAAAATAGGGATGCCCCAAATGCTTCCCTTTCTACTCACCACGATGAGCTTGTTCATTCATCTCCAGGGTTTCGCGTCTGGATCAGATCCATGGAAGAATATTGAGGAGATGGCGGCCAACATGTCGTGGTAACAATAACAATAATTACATCGAAGATCTTATGAAGGCCAGATTGTCCGTAGAAGCTGATCCCATTGTGTCTCTGATGAGTACGGCAATGAAGGACACCGTCACGGGAGGAG